CAGCAACTATGCTCCATGCAATCTACAGGGTCTCAGAATTACACTATTGAATGAAAAAAGCAAATTACTAAAGAATACATACAGCATGATATCACTTATTTTTACAAATAAGTGATACAAAATTTTACAAATAAATGATAGAAAATTTTGCAAATATACTCAGGGAAGAGGTATGGCCCTCCCCTGGTGCAGGCAATGAAAAGGTGCATGCATGACTGTAAAGAAATTTGAAAAAGTGGAATGGTCTAAAACTCAGTGTGTTTTTTGTTATCACCATGCATCCACAATTCTGAACATTATTGATAAAATCCTCCCCAAAAAGGCAACTACTTCCAGCCTCCACCCTCCCACAATGAACTCATTCAGAGACATTTTATTTTGGTGGTAAAGTATTAGGAAAAGAAGGGAATGACAGGACTAACGTTCAGGTGAGGGGTTGCGCTCTAGGAGAGAGAGACGGACATGGCTGGGGACTGGCGCAGGTGTCAGTTCTATTTTTCTAAACTGGTACATGCTGGTTATCAGATTTTTAATATCTTACTTATATATTTATTATGTCTATATTTACTTATTTATTATGTGTTCACTTACATCCCCTTCTATATACCCAGAATAGTCCACCCTCAAGAGAAAGAAAATTGAAGAAGTAAATTCAGCAAGAGGTGAGCTGGGGGAGGGGATGTGCTGGTCCGCGCTGGAAGCACAGACTCAAAACAGAATGAAGAGGCCCTGGGCCACCAGAATAGGATGAGGGGCCGTGCAGCAGGGGCGGCAGCAGGGGCGGCAGGTGCCCCGGCTGATGCTCAGAGGATTGCGGTGGGGGGGGGGGCCTGGACCAAGGAAACCAGGCGGCACTCCCCCGGGGCGGGAGCCACTGGCGTGGGGAACTTTCCAGGAAGGGGGTGAGAAGAGAAAGTGAGGCTGGAGGCTCCAGAACACCAAGCACCCTTCAAGCCTCGGCAGAACAGAAAGGTGGGGCAGTGGAGAAAGCCGGGGTTCCCCAAGCTGGGAACAGCCCGGCCAGCCGGTCACACCCCACTGGCCGAGGAGCCGCCCGTGGACTTAGCACGACCGTCCTGACCTTGCCTAGAGCCGTTTCCATCACAGGAGGCAGCAACCGATGCAGGGGGGCGAGGGGACCCAGAGGAAAGGCCTGGAGGCAACTCTCAGGAAGTCTGGCTGAGAAAACGAGGAGCAGCAGCTGGGAAGAGACATGGAGTCAAGGGAGGGATTTTGCTAAACTTTGAAAATGTTCTTTAAACATCCCCATCTGGCTTAGCCCCATTATGGCAGAAAGGGTGCGTTCAGGCCTTCCCACCCTGCCGGCAGCCATAGGCCGGGAGTGCACTGGCATATCTGGGAGGCGTTCTGCACGGTCGGCAGGAGCATTTGATCAGGGATGTGGTTCAGAATTGCTGGTAGATGGTGACGGTGAAAGATACAAGAAAGCAAACGGACATTTAGACATTTAAAAAATCCTCCGCAGACGATGCGCCCTCTCTCGCCTGCCCTGGGACAGGCGGCTCCCACCCCTGCGGTTGGTGAGCCACCCATGGGAGGTGCAGGCTTTGAGTCTCTGGGCCCTGGCCGTGCGTCTGGCTCCTTCATCTTCTGGCTGACGGGTCCGGGGCAAGTTCCTGCCACTCTGGGGCATCCCTGCTCGTGGGCCCACCGTGCTGAGACTGATTCTTACCCAGCAGGGCCTGTGCAGATGGAAGGAGAGAGCAGGAAAGCACCCGGTGGGTACTTACGAAGTCAGAGAGAAGAGGAGATGGGGCCTGGTGTTACCCCAGCCCCTGATAGAGGAGCCAGGCCTGCCTGTGCCAGCGCCTGGGGGGATCCAGCATGGGGCTGGCAGGGGCAGCAGGAAAGGGTGAATATCCTGGGGCCACTGGGGCCCGGATCCACCCTTCGCGGCTTGGCTGGGCCACAGCTAAGGCGCATCTACCTGCAAAGGCCTCCCCACAGCCCAGAAGGCCAGGGTCTGCGTCCCGCCCCTGCTCTCCCTGCTGTCCCCGAGGAAGTGCCGCTGCCTGGGCCGCAGGGGGCAGTTGTCATGGGGATGCCCGACCTGCCGAGCTGCCTCCTTAGCAACGGGACTCCCCGACCGGTTGCCATGGAAACAGCATCCACTCAACAATCAGTGGCGAGGACTGGGTTCCCTGCCCTTTCCTGAGGACTTTCTCCTCCCTGGTGGGCGGGCAGCAGGGCACTCGCCGCTGCACAGGGAGCCCCGGGCACTTCGCTCTTCCAGCCACGGATCACTGCCTCTCTCAGCCCGAGAGGTCTGAGGGCCCATGGGGACCCTCTGCAGCTGGAGTGACAAAGGCTACCGTCTGCAGGTGCTGCCAGGCCCAGCCACCCCACCCGCAGGGGGGAGTGGGTGCCACATCTAACAGTGAGGCTGGATCCCACCTGTGCCCTCAGGGGCCCCAAACTGCAGGAGCCCAGAGGCTGTGTGCCATCCTTGACCATTCTGAAAGGCACCCCTTGCCCTGGCCATGACACCCTTCCCACAACCTGACCACCTTGTCCCCCAGCCAAGGTTTCTGAGGGCCCATCTGATCAGGCTAAGACGGTCATCTCTCTCTTCAGTATCTAACTGCAGTCCATAGGCACACTGACTCCCCTCCGTCTCCTTCAGGCAGCACCAAGCAGTCGCACGGACTCCAGCCCTGGCAGCTGCGGCGGGAAGGAGCTCAGCCAGGGTCTCGCACCTGCACTAGCAGACAAAGAACACACACGTTCTCACCCTCCTCTTTAATGACTCTCACCAGCTCGCCCAGCGCACACTGGCACCCACAGCCAGACTGCTTGCTCCAGTGCACCTTTGCCCTCCTGCTTTTCGGGGCACAGGTCTGTGCACACAAGGGCTCACGCGTGCTCCAGGGGCTGTGTGCCATCGCCCTCCACAGCCTGGCTCCTGAGCCCCCAGTATTTCCCAGCAGCCTGAACCCCCTGCCCCCCTCTCCAGCCCCTAGAAGAAGGCAGCACCTGCTGGAATTTTTTTTTTTATTTAAATAAAATATACAACACGGCGCATTTACCGCTTTCTGTTTCAAAAGTGGAAGATTTGAAAATTGCTTGTGGGGGGTTGGGGATGGGGGTGCTCACTGGCTGGACCCAGCTTCCCCAGGCTCCAAGGAGTGGCTGGGCTGGGTCAGAGCTTTTATAAAATGTGTGCGTGTGTGCGCGCGTGTATGTGCAGAGAAGAGGGTAATGAGGCTAGGCTCAGATGGCAAGCGGGGCTGGGGGCTGGTCCTCATTCCTCGTGCCCTGGGCCCTCCACCCCTACCACTCTCCCCTTCCATCCTCGCTGCCACTTCCAGAACCACAGACTGCGGGTTTGTATCGACTCCTGCTGCCTTCGTTGCAGGGACAGGGCTGCATGCGGAACTCAGGTTGGGGCTGCTGTTTAAGTCCTTTCAGCTCTGAGAACTGCCCGGGCTTGAGAAGGCTTCTCCTGCCCCAATAGAGACCCAGGCCAGGTGACTCCCAGTCTCTCCCTAAAATCCCAGGATACTTCAGCCCCTGGATTACTGCCTCCCACTCCCTGTGGCGCATCTGTGGAGAAACTAGCCTGCCCCATACCCCCAGGCAGCTCAGGACAAAGCCTAATCTTGCCAACATTCTGGCTTGGAGTGTTGAGGAAGGTTCTGGATGGACAAGGTGGGACCAGCCCTCGTCATTACCCAGGTCTTGGCAGCCAAAGCTGCTCCCACCCTTCAGGCAGGGGCAGAGCACCCACCTTAGCACTGGCAGGACCTCGCTGGGGAGGGTGATCGTCGTCAGGAGGCATCTAAGTTGCCTTCACAGTGGCCCCTACTCCTTCCCGCTCCTGGTTCCCTTCAGGATCAATGCCAGTCCCCTAATCTGTCATCCAAGGTCACTGTGGCCTCGGGGTCTCTTTCCAAAGCCCGACCGCTCAGCTCCGCATCCTCAGTCGTGTCCCCAGTGTGCACTCCACCCCACCCCCTGCCCCTTCCTTCCTTCCTCTTCCCTGACTCTTTCACATCTCAAGGCCTGGCTCAAGCCCACCATTGGCCATGCCATAGGCCCCTCAGGAGGCATGGGCACCTCCCACACTGGCCGCTGTGCAGTCCTGAGCCCTCAGCCACAGTTCCCTGGGCTCTCACCACAGCCCAGACTTACGGGCTGGGCACATGAGGAGGGGGCATAAGAAACATGGTTTATTGAGCACCTGCTATGGCATGTGCCAGGCACTGGGCTGGGCTTTCCCCGTTTACTACCTTTCTGATCTGGTCCTCAGCAGTCCTCGTGGGCAGTACCACAATTACCCTCCCTTTACAAATGAGGTCACAGACTCAGAAAGGTCAGATAACTTGCCTAAGAAGTGGCAGGGGCAGGATTCAAACCCAAGTCTGATTACCTCCAAAATCCGGTCTCTTCCCTCTGTCCAAGCTTGGGGACTAACTCAGCCCCTTCAACTCAGTTTTCTGATAGAATGAACATAGACTTTGGCCTCAGGCAGGCATGAATTTGAATCTCAGATCAGCCCCAACTTGGCCACTCCTGGTTATGTGATTCTGGAAAAATTACCCAAAACTCAGTTTCCTTATCTGTGACATAGGGAGAATCCAAGGACCTACCTCACGGCCTTCGTGAAACTGAAGGAGTTAATATGTGTCAAGTGCTGCACACCAGTGCTTGGCGCAGAGCAGCAGACGCAATAAGCAGAAGTCCCTCTCACCTCCCACTGCACAGACGGGAAAGCTGAGGACCAGGGGGAGGCAGGATGAGCTCGAGGCCCCACAGGAAAGGAGAGGCCCAGCCCGGAGTCCTCCGCCTCCTCGTCGTGAGAGGTCAGGCTAGGACGGGATGGAGACCAGAGACAGGGAGAGAGGGAACCTGCTGAGGCGTCCTGGGTCCTCCTCCCTGACGACGGGAGAGAACGTGTCCCCAGACCCTGCGGTGCCCAGCCTACAGGCAAAGGTGGGGTGTTGGATGGAAGGTGACCTGGGTGTCCTGGCAACATGGGGTTAAACCGGATTGCACAGATGTGAGTGGCTGTCTACATGGCTCTACAGAGGGCTACACAGCTATACATATACACATCTCACATACATATACATATACATATTCATATACATATCTTACTAAGTTTGCAGTAGAAAAAATGCAAGACTCTCAGGGCCCTGGCCCTGTTTTGTCCCAAGGGTTCAGGCGAGTGACACTCCCTGGGAACACACCCAAGGGCAGCCCCTTCAGGAGGGAACAAGGGGAATCCCAGCAGAGCGGGGCTCCAAGTTCACAGCTAAGGGGCTGGTGGTGACTGTTGCCCTAAAACAAGTACAATAACAGGTCTGCTCTGGGAACCCCAAACATGGGTCACCCCACCCCTGCCAAGCCCCACAGACCCACCTTCTCTCCTGTGATTTTTGCATTTGGGTCCTGCCTGCTCTCCCCACCCCCACCCCTCTAGTGCTGAGTATTAAAATAGTCTATAAAAGCAAGTGACCAAAAATCTATAGCTCTAAGAATACCTGGTTATTTTCTGCTGTCTTTTGTTTTTCTGGTGTGGTTTTTTTTTTTAATGATAATTATTATTGTTATTGGTATATCTCCTAATCACAGTTAAACCTGAAGGAAGAAAGAGGAAAGGGGGGAAAAGAGAGAGGAGAGGGAGGGGCTCCAGCTCACAGATTGGACGGCAGTTTGGAGCGCGCTGGCTCAGACCGGGCCCCCCCTTCCCTCTGGGGAGCAGCAGTCACAGGGGGGGCCCCAGAAGAGGTGGCTCTTGCCCCAAACAAAGAAAGAGGGGGTGGCAAAGAACCTGAGGATGTCTTCCGAGGCAGAGTGACGTGCTGGCCAGGGATGGCACCATAGGGCCTCCCAGGAGGACCGAGGCCCCCGCTGCCCACCCCGACTCTGGGGAAGAGCGGGAAGGCAGCCACGGACTCCCCAGAGGAGTGCGGGGAGGCTCTGCGGAGAGTCTGCGCCCCGTCCTGGGGCAGGGCTGGCTGAGAGGCTGAGATGGGCTTGAGGTCCTGGGTGAGGCGGCCTGGGGTGAGGGGTGGCGTGCCCCGGCGCTGGGGTACCTGGGGTGGGGGCGGGCTGGACACAGGTGGCAGGAGCAGGGAACCGTGGGAGCCAGAGGCCTGGGGTGGGGCACTTGGGAAAGTTCTTGGGGGCCCTGGGCTGTGGCCAGGGGGGCTGAGACCGCCTCGGGGAGTGAAGGCTGTAGGAGAAGCCCCCACAGAGGTCCCTGTCACGAAGGACGGCCGCTCGGGCTGCCGCGGGGGTGTCTCTGGGGTACTTGCAGGGCCCGCGGCCAGACCCGGAGACACCTCCCCGGGAGGCTGGCCCAGCTGCCCTGGGCTGGACGACGGAGACCTGGACGAGGGCGGGGGCGGCAGGAAGTGCTCCAGGGGTCCCGGGCCGCCGCGGACCCCGGGCGGCGGGGGCGGGGGCTGGTTAGCCTGCGGGGAGCGGGCCCCGGGCTGCAGCGGGGTGAGCAGGGGCGAGTCGGACGAGGACAGGGAGCCACCCAGCGCCCTGTGGAAGAGGCCGAACCCGGCTGGGGTGGCGGCCGCAGTGGCAGACGGCGTGGGGGCCGGGGAGGAGCCGGACGAGGGCAGCAGGGGGCTCAGGCCGGCGGGCACGGAGAAGCCGGCCAGCTGCTGGACGTGGAAGCAGGAGGACGGCGTGTCCAGCTGGGACGGGCTGCTGGCGGGCGAGGCGGGGCCCCCCGCCGAAGGGACCAGGGACTGGAGCCGCCTCGGGTGCCTGGGCGTCTGCCCGGCCCCCAGGCTGCCCGGCCCGGGCCCCGGGGTGGGGCGGAAGACGGCCGCGGGCAGGCGCGGGTGGTGGGTGAGGGCGATGGCCACGGACGTGGTGGCGGCGGCGGCCTGCAGCGGCGCGCGGATCAGCGGCGTCCAGATGACGGGCGTCGGGGCCGGGGTCGGGGTGGCAGAGGCGGCGGCCTGCGCGCGGTGGGCGCAGTGGGCCATCTCGCGGTCGTGCCGCACGATCTGCTCGATGATCTCGCTCTCCTGGCAGTTGAAGACGCCCGAGTTGAGGTCGTGCTGGACTTTGTGCAGGAGGATGGAGTTCTTCTTGCCTGGGCCACAGAATGGGGGAGGCGGGGGCTCAGGCCGGAGCGGGGGGGGGGGGGGGGGGCCGCCCTGCCCGTGCGGGAGGGACCCCAGCCTCCCACCGGCCCCTCACCGATGCGGTCCAGGCGGTCCAGCGCCACGGTCTCGAAGGCCCGCCGCATCATCGGGTACTCCTCCAGCACCTCGTTGAAGTTGTCCACGCTCAGCGAGTAGAGACGGCAGTAGGTGTCGGCCCTCACGCTGGCTGTGCGCCGACCCCGGGTCAGCAGGCAGATCTCTGCCGGGGCAGCAGGCGTCAGGGTGGGCTCCAAAGCCCCCCCTGCCCGACCCTGACCTGGGTCTCCACGTCTGCTCCAGAAGCTTGACGGACTCACAAGGCCCCGCCCCCGAGCTGTGACCACACTGGATGCCACGTGCCCCCACTGCGTGGGTGCCGGACTGCCTTGCCCATCTTTAGAACCATACCCTGTGCTGGGCTCACTGACACCCACCTCCAGGCAGTGACCACAAAGGGACTGCAATGTCATCATCCAGCCCGTTCCCCATCCTCCCATGTCCTCCTGGCCACCTCACCTCCAAAATAGGAGCCATCTGCCAGCTTGGTCTCCTTGTTGCCCTTGGTGAGCACGCTGACCACACCGTGCTGGATGAAGTACATTTTCTTGCCGATGGTGCCTTCACGGATGATGTAGTCCCCCGGCTGGAAGACCTCGAAGCGCAGCTTGGTCAGCATAGACGTCACAAAGTTGGGGTCGGCATTGGCAAACAGCGGCATAGAGGCCACCAGCTTCCGGCAGTTAAAGTTGATGATCTCCTGCTCCCCAGATGGTGGATTGGGAAAGAGAGAGACGTGGGTGGGGGAATCCACCCGCAGGAAGACCTGGCCCCCTTCGCAGCCCCACGACCAGCCAGCTCACCTCCCGCAGCGGCTCACTCAGCTCCCCCAGAATGCTCTCCTCGTCGAACATCTTGCCCTGGTAGCGGTGCTCATAATAGTCGTGGATGCGCTGCCGGGTGTCGGGTGGAAGCTTGTGGAAGGACATGTACTGCTCCACCTGCTTGTACTGGGTCCCAGGAGAGGGGGAGAGGGTGTCACCTCCTAGTTAGCCAACCCCACCGCCCCTGCTGGCACCAGCCAGCCTCGGCCCTGCTGGTGACCAGCAACAGTGCTGACCCTGTGGGCCCTCTTGGCCAACCTTGGCTCCTTGAGACTGAGGTCCTTGGCATGGGTGTGGTCACATGTGCCCCACAAGAAGGCCCTGACTCCCCACTGCCTGGGGTAGAAGGGCACCTCCGTCAGAGCATCCGGCCCACACCGTGCTCAATATTGTGAAGATGCAGGGACGCTGGGGACGGTCCAAAGCCCAGCTACAGGAGGTCGCTCAAGTTTCCTCCGCAAGTCAGCCTTTTTTTGGTTACACTGCAGAAGGAGAAACCTCCCTGACTCTGAGAGGAGCTCTTTCCTACCAGCTGGTAACAAACTGGCTTCGGCAGCACGACTGGGCTGCAGTGCGTTTGGAGGGCTGGAGGCTGACATGGACACCTGACCCATCATATGGCATTCATCCGAACGTGTCCATGGCATTTTGTTGAAGAGCCACTACAGCCTGGAGGAGTTGCTGGGTACAGCAGGGACCTTAAACAGAGGTCTGCGGACTACATATTTGTGAACCTATTCAACTAAACCAAATAAGAAATGCCCCTGCCCCCCAAGGGGGGAAGAGCGGTTGCTGCTCTAACCATCCCTGGGTTGTGGGTGGAGAGTGGGGGTCCTCAGGAGCACGGCTGGCGGTAACGGATTTCCCCACCCCGGGAGGTAAGGGCAGGTCCTAAGCCCCAGCAACCATTGGAACAGGAGCCTGGTCTCATTACAAGTGCTCCAAAGAGATGGGGACACGCTGCCGCTGCAGGGACATGCCAAGAGGCAAGTGAAGGCGAGGAGGTGATGTCTCCTAACATCCCTCCTGCCAATCGGGCCCCCACCCTCCCAAGCTGTGCCCACCTCCAGAGGACACAAGCAGCTGGCTATGGGGACGGGCAGTCAGAACAGCTGGAACTGTATTTAGAGAATTCCCCTTGCATGGACAGTCACAGAGGCGGGGAGGAAGGGTCTGGAGACAGGGCAGGACTCGAAGGTTGTTCAGGTGGTCCAGGTAAGCGGCAGTGGCAGGGACCAAGGGAGGGGATCCATTTAAGAGAGATGTATTGGTGGATCATATATCGGAGAGCTACCAGCTGAAGGACAAAATAAAGACAACTCTCAAATGGAAGGCCCCAAGCAGCTTCATTCTGCCCTAGAATAAACCCTGATGCTTTTTCCAAACTGTTCCTGGTTGTAGTCCCAGACTAAGCCCCCATCCTTGTCGCACGCTGGGCTCTGGCCCTTGTTATGCAGTGACCCCTGACCTGGTCACAGGCTGGGCCCTGACGCTGGGCCATGTTGAACTCTTACCTGGTCCCGGATGAAGCCCTGGCCTTTATAACCTGACTCCTTCCTCCTTGCTGTCCGTATCCCCCAGAACCCTGTGTTCTAATCAGGCTCATTCCTTTTCCACCCATACACACTTGCTCATGTTCATCCTGATAACTGGCCTAGAATTCTCTTCTGCTTTCTCCTTCCTCTGTTTCCCCAGCGGACCCTCCCATCTGCCCCAGCTCTGCAGGCTCTCCTGAGCTTTTCTCTTGGAGTCATAGGACCTGGGCCATCATCTCCCAGTTACCCTGCCAGGGGACAGCACCTGGGGCAGGCAGGCAGTCAGTTAACAAACGCTGAGCCCTACTACTGCCAGACACCGGGGATTCAATGGGGAGGGACAGACGTGGATGCCGCCTCACAGAGCCACAGCCTAGATAGAGAAGACAGACATTAACCAACCAGCTACATGCGATTAATTAAATAATGGTAGGAGTGCAAAGGGTGATGAAGGAGAATTAGAGGTTGTCACAGGGTCACACGATGGATCACAGAAGGCTTCCCCCAAGGAGGTGAAGTTCAGGCTGAGAAGTGGAGAAGTAATCAGATGCAAAGAGGAGAGGAGAGCTCCAAGAGCCTGCGCCGGAGCCCCGAGGCCGGAGGGGCCATGCGGGGAGGCTTGCAAGGCCACAGGGGAGGGCTGTGGGGCCCCCCAAAGCCAGATTATGCCCCTGAAATGCCAGGCTGAAAAGACACATTTAGAAGTCGATCTACATCTAGCAGTAATGTGAAGGCTCTAAAGAGTTTTAAGCACAGTGATATGATCAGATTTGTATTTTTTAAATGCCAACTCTGTCTGCTGTGCTGCATGAAGAATGGTGTGGAAGGTGGCAGAGTGGAGTCCACTTTGCTGGTAAACATTGAAAAGCTCACCCTGAGCTGACAGCCTGAAGGGTCTGACATGCATCACTCCCACCTCGCAACCCCGTGATGAGGACTGTCTCCAGCTCACAGGTGAGCAAATGGGTCGCAGAGCCACGAAGTGACCTGGCAACCTCAAACGGAGAAGCTGGGCTTGGAAGCCAGGTGGCCTGACTCCAGGCCCAGCCCTCTGGCTAGGAAGCCACTACAGTGACCCAGGCGAGGTTGGCGGGGGAAGGAGACACTGTCTCAAGGTAGGCATTAGTGACCAAAAGGCACCAAGGATGGCTCCCGTTCTGGCCTGGGTGTCTGCGCTACTCTGTCCACTGATGGCACGGGGAGGGTGAGGGAGACTGTACTCATTTTGGACATGATGGGGCTGAGGTGTCCAGGGATGCATTAAATCAGCTGGAGCTGATTTGATCGTTTGGGGCCCAGTGCGTGGAGATGGACACAGAGCAGGGGTGGGGGTGGTAAAACAGCAGCCCCTGAGAGGAGACAGACAGGTGCAGAGAGCTAAGGCCCGAGCCACCAGGGACCCAACATGTGATAAGGACAAGCCAGCCAAGGGGAGCAAGAAGGGCCAGAGAGGGAGGCGGGAGCCAGGAGGGCAGCTGTGGACACCAAGGGCAAAGCCAGGAGGGGGTGAGCCCTGTCAGACGCCAGGCCACACAAGCAGGAGGACCCCAAAGGGCCTGCCGGCTGCCACCCACAGAAGGTGCTGGTGGGCTCTGGGGTTGGGGGCTGAGACATGGGTCCAGCGACCATAAACACGGTGGGTTTGCTGTTTGTTCGCCTTAGGAGTTTGTCCATGAAAAGGAGGCAGGCAACAGAAAAGAGAGCAGCTGAAGCTGGATGATGGTGGGGGGCTAAACGGGGGGCCTGGTGGAGCTCTGTAGGGACCAATGGGCAGGTTCTCCTCAGCAGGAAGCCCATGGTGGACCCCGGCTTGCCGCCCTACCTTTTCCTGGTATTGGCGCCGGGAGGAGTCCAGGGACTGGATGAGGGCGGTGGCGTGGCCGATGAACATGGCATAGCAGGTGGCCCCCACAATCATGCTGAGCATGGTGAGCCAGACATCTGACATGCCCACGGGCGCCTGCCGTCCGTAGCCGATGCACAGCATGTGGCTCATGGCCTTGAAGAGGGCGTAGGAGTACTGCTTTCCCCAGGAGTTGTTCTGTGGACACACAGGTAGACAGATCGTGGCATAGTAGTGGACGGGCCAGATCAGTGAGGGGGCGGGCCTTCTCCTTCGCCCCTGGGAAGTCCTCACCACCTCCCGTCCCTCAGCCTAACTCCTTCCCAGCGGCTGAGCCCAGGGTCCCAACCTTGCAGTTGGCTACAAACCTCGGGGCAGGGGCAGGAAGGCCTTTGCTGGCAACCTGTGGTGACTGAGCGATCCCCCACTTAGGCCCTCCTCTTGCAGTGGGGTCACCGATCAGATGGGGTGCCCCAGCATAGGGGCAGGGGGCAGCCTCTCCTGTCTGATCTTTCAGCCCCGGTGGGGCAGCCTGGGGCCTCCTGGGCAGCACACGCCCCCGAGCCAACACAGCCTGCCGGCCCCAGCTTTCTGACCTAGCCCCACACCACCGCCAAGCGAGGCCCATTTCCCCACTGACCTCAATTATAAAACCAGATACGCTTCCCCTTGGGGGACAAACCCTGGCAGACTGAGCCAGAAACGCAGTCCTCGTTCGGGGCAGACAAAAGTCAAAGCACTCGCTGCCCAGCTAACTGCGTCCTGTGCAGCCTGCTGGCAGCCGTCCTCAGCGGGGGCCACTAGCTAAGCTGCCCCCAAGGGGGACTGTCTGGGGCACACAGTGCGTGGGGTGGAGCAGGAAAGGAGGGAGCGAGGCTCTGGGCTATTTTTGTCTCCAGAACCAGTCAATGTCTCAAGGAAGCCCCTGTGGGAACACAGAGCTCCAAAGGGCCACCTCCGAACTTAGCGCATGTGTGGGCCTGTCACCCTCACACAGAGGACACTGTCCCAAGTGGGGGGCCTGCCAGATGAACCCCAGCACCGGCCACCCCCAGTCCAGTGCCTCTCTGCTCCAGGATGGAAACCCACCCTGGCGCAGGACCCACAGCAGCCATGCCCAGGGCCCCGTGCACTCCTCAGTCACAGGAGCTGTGTGCCCCATTCAAGGTCCCTCAGACCGTCCTGGACAGAGCTGGGCGAGCCTGGTGGCACTCCATCCAGACTAGGGTGGGAGGCCCACAGAGCTCACCTCCAGGGGTGGAGGGGCCCAGGCTCCCCAGCGGAGCAGGGCTGGTCCCCAGCTGCCTCCAGGAGGGTCTTCGGGCCTTACTGGGGAGCCTCGGGAGGCTGGGGAATTCAGTCCATGTGGCGGATTCATTTACACACTGCTCATCAAAAGGCTGTTTTGTAAAGGCCTATTTGATGCTGAAAGATGCCTCAGGGTCTCCTTCACCTCTCTGAAAGCCCATTTATCCTCCCCCGAGGCCCTGGGGATTTGCTCACAGACCACACCAAATTGACTGTGAAGGGGAGATGGGACAGGGGGTTGCCAGACCCAGAGAAAGGCCTGCAGGTGCACAGGGCTCTCTGCCCTGCCTGGAGCCCACCGTGCGGGCAGCGGCCTGGAGACTGCTGTGTTGCTTCTGGCCCCAAGCTCCGCTTCTCTCACCTACCCACAGGGTTGGACGGGGAGGGAAGAAGGGGATCAGGGACCCATCTGGCCTCCCTGCCAGCTGAGGACCACACCTGGGACCAGGAGGTGTGCGCATGTGGGGCAGGAGCTGGCGGGCCAGGGCATCATGTGGCAGCCGGTGCTGCCTGGGAGTCTATGTGTGCCCCTCACAGGATGCTCTTTTCGGGGGCTTGGTTTTAAGGGTTGGTCTGCCTCTGGGGAGCAGAGTAGGAGGGCAGGAGTCACCAGCCTGGCTTTGCTGCACCTCCTACAACCTGAAAAGGCCCAGGTCTTAGTCTCCCTGGGTGAAATCAGGGCCAAATATTGAGGCCCCCTGTAAGAAGGCCAAGGCAGCAGTGCGCAGCCATGAGGCCTGTGACGGACCTGTCCTGGGCACAGGGCTGGCACCTCAGGCTCCCACAGGTGCACGCAGGAGTTCAGTGGTGGGCCTGCTCTGCCCATGTGCCACACCAGCCCCCTGCCCCCATGCCCAGAGGGAGGGCGGGCAGGGCACTCACCACCATGTTGTTGATGGACACCCAGCAGTCGTCAGGGAAGTCCTGCAGCATGGGCACCAAGAACTGCAGGCAGCCGTCCCAGTGGCACAGCAGCAGCATCATGCCGATGAGGTTCACTATGCGCACCACAGCACTGGCCAGGTCATAGGTCATGTGGAAGATCTGCAGGCAGAGGGGACAGAATGGGCCCAGATAGGTGGAGGACCGGGAATGGGACAGCCCACTTCCAGCCAGCCCCTGCAGCTGCTTGTGGGCATTACATGCCAGGGCGCCCAGGTTGGTGCAGGCCAAGGCTGTGGCCTGGGCAGTGATGGTGTCAGGGGGTGCCGTGGAAGAAACAGACTGCAGGCTGTAGGGCCCGAGAAGGCCGCCTTTTGGGGTCTGTGCAGATGTGGGGGACTCCCAAAGGAAGTCCAGCTGGACACGTGAAGAGAGGGTACCCGGAGCCCCATGCAGCTCTGAGGTGGGCAGAGAAGCCACTGCATTAGCTTGCCTAGGTCATGAGGACCACAGCTTGAAGAGCCAGCCAGCCTGAGGCTCCTCAGGGGACACAGTCTGTAGACATGCCAAGGGCACGGTGCTTCCCTAAATCTGTCACTGGCCTCTAAGGACCCAACCGGGGGCAGTGGGCTCTGCCTATGGATTCCATGGAACTGCAGGGGCACAGCACAGACATACAGGCTCTAAGAGACCCAGACCTTGATCCCAGGCCTCCTTTCTACCTAATGCCTAGTTGTGTGACCTTGAGAAAGTCCCTGAACTTCTCTGATCATGTTTCCTCATCTGGAAAACGGCCATTAAAATTCTTACCTGAGTGTGTTGTCAAAAGGATTAAATTATACATATGAAGGCCTTAATACTGTGTATAGAAGTGTTCAATAAATGTCAGACTATGACTAATTGATAAGTTATTAATAATCTTTATGATTAATTAATATGTATTAGTAGTAATGCTCTCCCGTACAGTTTAATAAAGCATAGCACCCTCAAGCCCAGACCACAGCCACCTGTCCCTCTCACTCCCGTGGCTCCAAGGGAGTGGCTGAAGTGCTGCCGAACAGGGACAAGGGTGGGCACATCCCAGCATTCCCACCCCACCACCCTCTTCCCAGAGCTGCCATTTAGTCCAGTTTCACAGAGATGGATCACTATGGTGACAGGGTGGTGAAGGGGCAGAGAGAAGGAAGGAGGTTTAAGGGGAGGTCACTGGAAGTTCTAGCCTTGATTCTGGCCTGGGAGACTTTGGAGGTGCCCCCAAGCCTAGTTCTGGTCCCTCCATACTGCTCCCACACAGAGCCAGCTTCCTGGAGAGGGCCTTCAGGCCGAAATGACAGCCTTGTCAAGTGCCACAGAGGCCTGGTTTAAGCCCACGTCAGATGAAGCCCAAAGGAACAGGCCCTAGATATTTCAGCCCCATCTAGTGGTCTAGCTGCAGCCCTGTAGCTGGTGGCAGGATGTGCTGATACTAGTGGCCTCAGTTCCCCCTTCTGAAATGCAGGCTTGGGCTGGGTCTAGGCTTTGAAAAACCAAAGATGAATACTACTTGTCCACGGTTCCCAGGGTCACTCCCACCTGTCACCCCCTTAGTTGCATGACCCTGGATGTACCAGCTGAAAGGCTATGGAATCTTTTCAAGATGAACTGGGCCTTGGAAAGAGTCATGGAGGATGGAGCTCCAGCATGTCCCACACCTGGCACGGCCCCAGCAAGAGAGAGACAATAATACCACACCGGGTTGTTCACACGGGACCAGGTAGTCATCATCCCATTTAAACTCACAGCAGCCCTTTGTGAAAGATGTTGCTAATCCATTGTACACCAAGGCTCAGGAAGTAAAGGGACTTGCCTACAGTCATGCTGGCAGTAGAAGAAGAAAGGTTTGAATCCAGAGCTGTCTGCAGATTATAAGACTGGCCCAGTGAGGGAAGGGTGGTTTTCAGTAGTTCTGTTTTGCAGATAAAACACCACACACCCAAAGGGGCTGAGCGATGTGTCCAGATTCACACAGCACGCTGGACCCAGGGCCAGGGGGAACTCGCTGGATCTTGCCTGGCATGCAATGCTCACAAGCAGCTGTCTACAACACCGTGTAGTGCCGTAGACAGAGCTGTGTGCCCAGCAGCCTAGCCCCACTGAGGCCCAGAGACCAGCCCCCAGCTCCACTGACACACCTCAGGATAAGGAGTGGTGGCCACAGGGCACTTGGGGACTGGGAGCCGGGCTCAGACATGGGTGCCTCTTGCCATCTCTCCACTGCTGGCCATGCCCCAGGACCTGGATCCTGAGACCAGGAGGTTCTTCCAGCCTGTTCTGATGATCACATAGCAAGTCCTGTGAGCCACCACCCCAGATATGGCTCTTAGGGAAGATCCCACAACTGCCTCTTTAGCGATGATGTAAAAACAAGAGCTCTTTGACCTTGGGAAAGTCACTGACCTTTCAAAGTCCTTGGCCAACCAGCTCCCTCTACTCTGGGGGTATGGGGAGGGCAAGTGAGGTGGGACTACCCAGACCCAGAGATGGCCAGCATCTCACCTCCCACCGCCCCCCAGCCTCCCCTCCCCCAGCTAGACATCTGTCCCCACTTCTCAGGGTGGCTGGAAGAATTGAACTAAGAAAAGTGCTCTGAGCCCTGAACACATGTGCGATGACATTATTATTAAGTTCCTTCATTTTCCAGCTGCTATGACCTGAATGTCTGTGTCCCCCCGAAATCCCCATATTGGAGCCCTGACCCCCAGTGTGACGGTGTGAGGGAACGGTGCTTTTGGAGAGTGATCTGGCTGGGAGGGTGGATCCCCCATGAATGGGGTTAGTGCCTTTATAAGAGGAAGCACAGAGAAATGACTTTCTCCCCACCATGTGAGAACACAGAAAGAAGGCTGCCATCTACACACCAGGCAAGGAGCCCTTGCCAGAACCAGACCATACCCGCACCCTGACCTCAGCCTCCAGAACTGTGAGAAATAAATATTTGTTGTTTATGTGTGTGATATTTTGTTATAACAGCTTGAGCTGGATACCACACTGGGCTAAAGGACACCTCAGACCACTTCGGAGAGCATCCCAGACCGCTGCAGCCCACAGCACCCTCTCCTCTCTGTGAATCCCTCTGGGTCTTTGGAACGGAAGTTTCCAGGTTGGCATGTTTTTAGGCCTTGGCTTCTCTTCTTTTTCATCACCTATGTTTTTCTTTCCTTTGTAACTAATTTTCTTCCAAGATTGGGTCCTTGTCTAATTTTGCCTTTATCGTGATCTCAGCAATGAATATGGCAGAACACGTGGCAGGGTCTCAGGAACTGAGAAGTGCTTAGTGACGAAGGTGAAGGTGGCAGTGACAGTGACGGGGCTGAGGGCGATCGGGGCTGCCACGAGGGTGCAGAGCAGCATTTGAAAAAGGCCAGTGCTGGGCAAGTGCAGCTACAGGCAGCCACCTTTGCCTTTGCAGGAAGAGAGAAGGTGCCTTCTCCTCTAGGTGGGCACGGACTCACGTGCCCCACAGAGATAGGGCGGTGGTGTGCCGGCGTCGGGCTGAACAAGGATGCGAATGCCAGGGGCGCCTGGGGTGGTGGTGGGGGCCTTCGGTGTGGTGAGCCAAAGGCACCAACGTGGCAAAGTCTGAGCTTGCTTCCAGGAGTTGGTGGGGGGCTGGTGGTGCATCCATTCAGGCTAGGAGGGTACCCCGATGGTGAGGACACTCCCTCACCCCCAGCACTCCCAGCACCCAGGTGTGGTGGCTGAGAGCAAGGCTGAATGTTGCCGGGAGAGGCTGAGAACACTCCTGTGTCCCTGCCGCTGTGGGGGCTGCAGGCCACCCACAAGTCAGCTGCACTACACAAATATTTGTCTTGTTCCTTATACCTCATTAAGCCCCCTTTTTATGATGCTGGGTCTGATTCTGGGGATTGAGTACCTTCATTTGCAGTCCCCCAAAGGCTCGCTGAGTGGGCAGCTGGGCAGCTTGCTCTCTGAGCCCCGCCTGGCACTTGGGTGGCACTCCACTCCTACACCTTCCTGTAGTTTCCCAACCACAGAGAACAAGACAGAGCGACATGTCTTCCACATTGAGCAAGTACCTTCTTTGCTCTGAACCTCAGTTTCCCCAGCTGTGTAATGGGTCAATAACTGCCAGCAACCAGGGCTGACTCGGGGACCAGGAGAGATGGCCACAGCTGGCACACAGTAGGTACCCAGGGTATGTTGGTTCCTTTCCTTCCCTCTCTTTTCCAGCCTCAAAGGATTACTTGGTCCTGGGCAGAGACCAGACACGAGTTTCTGCCAGAGCCTCCTCCTGAGGCCTGGCTGAGTTGCCTCCTGGGGACTCATTTTCTCCTCAGTGAAGAACAAACGTCTCCCTGTGTCTTGGGGACAAGGGGCTGCCCCAAGAACAGCGACCCAGGCCTCTGGGGGTGCTGCACGGGCGTCCTGAGCACAGCCTGCAGGTGGCCAGCCGGGGGGTCACATGGGGCCCCATGGGATCACTCCTCTGTGTCTTCCCGAACCCCCAATTCTGGGGGGGGAGGGAGAAATCCAGGCTCACGCGTGAGGGGATGCAGCAGGGGCTCCCCAGCCACCCAGCCTGGCCTCCGGTCTCCAGTCCTCCTTCTGCCGCTCCTGGCTGCACAGGAGAGAAGAGGCTTCTGGGACGGGTCGCTGGGGTGCTGGGCCTGCAGGGGAACATCTGAAGGGGGGTGACCATGGTTTCTAACAATAGCCTCCAAGACTGTAACAAGCTCGCACCTCCGAGGGAGGGAAGAGGCTCGGCTGGGAGGGAGGACGCTGACCTACATCGCCCAGGATGGAGGCAGAGACCAGCCTCCTCTGAGATGCCCCGCACCTGCTGAGGCCTCCCACCTACCCCAACCCTCGGGACCTGCTGCCAGCGCTTGGCAGCTCTCCCACTGGGCGGCCGGGCTGGGCTGGGGAGGCGGCTGAAGCCTGGGGTCGGGAGTCTGGCATCTCTGCAGCTCCACCAGGGTCTTAGGCAAGCTTGGCCCTCCCCAAGGGAGGCTGAATCCCAGCCCCACACAGGCCAGGGCACTGTCCTCGAGGTCAGCTCACCAGATCCTCACCACAGGAGGCTGGAGTGGAGACCGAGCCCTAACCTTGGAGGACAGTCAGGGAAACTGAGGCCCACAGAGGGAAAGGTTCACACAGGGAGTTAGGGGGGCAGACGTGGCTGGTTCTCTCTACTAAATGCCTCCCTCCCCATCTCATACAGACCTGGCACCTCCAAGCGCGCCCCTGAGGCTGCCTAGCTGTGGCTTGGAGAAGCCTTAGAGCTGGGGAAGGCCATTGAGGACCTAGAGGCAGGGTTCCTGGGGCCAGCTGGGAAACCCCGATCCAATCCCAGGGGTCCAGCTCTTGGTGGGGCTATGTGCCCAGCAGAAACCAGCTCAAAGCAATTTCCTTCCCAGCTGGGAGGCAACCTGAGGGTGTGTGTGGAGGGGGCGGGGAGGTGACCATCTGACCTCCTGGAGTCTCCCTTCCTGCCCACGTGATTGGGTAGTGTTGTCCGGTTCCAAACCTTGACCTGAGGCCTCCTGGGGACCGTGTACCCCAGGGAAAGACCAGGGCCAACCAGGGCCCGCCTGAGCTGTTCTGGATAACCCAGAGGGTAGTGAGGCCAGACGGGTAGTGGGGACAGGAGCTCTGGTCTGAGGTCCCAGACTGTATGGTGTGGGACATGAAAAAAGGGCTTAGCCCCTGTCCCAGGGCCTACCCTGCCCAGCCACTGGTAACTTGGCCAATTACCCCAAGCTCCATGGCCCCCAGGGCCCAGGCATACGGGGAGCAAGGTTGGCCCCTGGGGGCTGGGACATACCAGTGCCAGACCAGTGTTAGAAAAGGGAAAGATCGAGTACTTCTCTCTGCTTAGAATGGCAGTCTAGCTCTAAGTCCAAGACAATCAAAAGGCTGGGGATTTCATGGGGAGGGAGGGGGCCAGCATGGTTCTGCGCCTCCCCCTGGGGCAGAAACCAAGAGACAGGCCTGCTGAGGCACCCTGGGAAGTATGCCTCTGTCCTTTCTCTGCAGCCACTCGGAAGCTCCAGCCACGGCCACCATCACCCCAATAGGCACTGTCCCCTCTCATCCCTGAACTCAGACCCACATGCCAACATCTCTCAGCACCTAGATGTCCCACAGGTCCTCAAGCCCAAGCTGTGGCACGAAATATTTACCACCCCCCTTGACCTGCTGCACCACCTGCCTGCCCAGTCTCGCTGGCAGTCACCCCAAAAGCCATCTCTGTTCAGGCTGCCTGGGAAGGTGGGAAGTCCATGAAACCAGAGTCAGGGGGCCTTGGTCAAAAATCCTACCACTGGGGCAGCTGACCCTTCTAATCCTCAGTCTCCCTGCTTGACAAGTAGGGTAATAAATACTTGCACTTACCTTGCCAACTAGGTGTGAGGAACCAATGAATTAACGGGTAATAACTATTTGAGAGAAATAAACACCCTCTAGAAGCATAGGGGGTTACTAAGACAATCGGGTGGGGAGGGCCACTTATTAAATGGTTCTCTACATCAGGCTTCAAGCTAAGGGTTTTACAAACACCATCTCATTTAATCCGCACAACAATTCAGCGAAGAAGGGACTACTGACACCCACTTTGCTGATAAGAGACTGAGACTGAGAGAGGCAAGGTGTTCCCATAGCTGGGCGGTAACAGAGCTGGGTTCTAGCTTGGATCATGACATGGGTTACTGAAACTCCAGGCCCACAAGCATTCCACCATCCACCTTCCTGGCAGGCAAGTGGGCTGTGTGCTGCGCCAGCTCTGCCAGAGGTCTGCTGCATGACCTTGGGCAAGTTGTTGCCCCTCCTCTATCAGCAGGAATAATACACATTTTCTAAGTCAGAATTTCTGCACCAGAGTACTTCTGCCAGGCCGGTGCTGCCACTTGCACAGCCCAGGTGTTCATCTATCCCTGACCTCAATCTGCCAGTGCCCCAGCCATCAGCCAGGGGTGCTGTTTCCCAGGGCCCAGGCTGCTGCCAGGGGTGGGGTGGGGGCTTCATATCCTGAGCACAGGAACTCCTGTCTAATAAAGCAGAGGTCCTGGGGACCAGGAGACCGGCAGTGAGCCATGGCAAGAAATGCTCCTCTGCAGAAGCTCCCAGGCCACAGCATGCTCCAGAGGTGAGCAGTCTCACAGAGCAGTGTTCCCCAGACCTGGTACCTCCAGGCTGGCCTCCCTGCTGTTGCTGCCAAAGGGTGTCATTTGGATGGTGGCAGACATAGGCAGAAGCGCTTGCAAGGTCACTTGCTTTTCTTTCAAACCCTGGCTCTCCCACAGATGACTGCATTCAGCCCATGCATGACGGGCTTCTTCAGAATGGTGCTGGCTGCCCCCCACAGGTTCTTCTACAATTTTTTATTTTGTTTCTGTAGCCAGTACTCTGCCCACAGCCCCACAGTTGTGCACACACAGCTTCAGGCTCCCCAGGTTCCGCAGGAGAGAGAGCTCCCTCCACAACTTCCTATCTACAGCCAGCACCTGAGGGCTTTTTGTCATAGGCTTGTCCCAGGCTGCTAGAGACTTCTTTGCCTGCTAGTACCAGAGAGGCTGGGAGTGCCCTGAACCAATGACTGACAGGTAAAGGGATATAAAAAGTCCAACTACTTTGCCCTGCCTGGGATAACTCTGTGGTGTGGTGTACACTGGCCCCCCAGCACTCCCCATGGTGTCAGCTTATTTGACTTCCTTTCTTTCCCTGTCCCTTTTCCCCAATCCCTTACCAGATTTTCCTGGAAACACTTCGCCTCCAAAAAAATCACTTTAATGCAATTGCTCATCTCAGAGTCTGCTCCAGGAGAACCCAACTGGAGATAGTTGCCAACAAATTTTGCACAAAAATCCAGATTTCTGCTTCTCATGATAAATCTTTACATCTAGCAACTCTGGGTTCGTGCCCACTTGGCAACAAGTGGCTAGAGCTGAGTCGAGGATGTCTGATATGAACAGATGTGTTCACAGGTTTTCCCCAGTCTACCACCCTCCCTGTGGCCCTCCCATTGGTCCTTTTCACCCATTCACATTCCTTATCCGGCCCCTACAGGTCTATGAATTTGCATCCCTTTTAATATGGTGCAGGGGTTGACAGTGCAGGCCCTGGAGTCCAAATGCAGCAATTACCAATTCTATGGCCCTGTATAAATCCATTCATCTTTCTGTCTCTTGCTTTCCTCATGTAAAAAATGAGGAACTCTATGTACGTATTTGGTACCCTCTATGGTTGTTATAGACTTAAACAGGATACTGCCTGTAAAGTGATCTGTGCAGTATCTCACACATAAGAAGTCAAGAAATTACTACTATTTGTCCTCTTGGATCAGGTATATCTGCTGCAATCTGATAGTCCACATCCAACTATCTGAGGTTACCTGCTGGCCTCTCACTCCCCCTGGGGAGAAGATAACCCTTCCCAGAAGCGGTTTGGGTCTGACCACTCACCTCTTCCCACTGGTGAATATATCGAATGAGGCGAGAGAGACGCAGGAGGCGCAGAAGGCTGAGGATCTTGGTGAAGCGGACAATGCGCAGGGCCCGGGCAGTCTTGTAGACCTCTGAGTCAATGCGCGTCTCTACGATGAGGAAGATGTAGTCCACGGGGATGGAGGAGATGAAATCCACCACAAACCAGCTTTTGAGGTACTTCATCTTAATCCGCTGTGGGTCCAAGATGATCTCTGTGTTGTCCTCCACCACAATCCCTGTGCGGAAGTTGAGGACCAGGTCGATGAGGAAGAACGTGTCTGACACCACATTGAAGACGATCCAGGGTGTGGTATTCTCATCCTTGAAGAAGGTGATGCCCACGGGAATGATGATCAGGTTTCCCACCATCAGCAGCAGCATGGTCAGGTCCCAGTAAAATCTGCCCAGAGACACAGGGTCAGTCACCAATAGGGCAGAGGGAATGAGTTACAGATCAAGAGAGAAAGCTCCCAAGGAGAACAAATGTGGGAGAGAGGTGTCAGAGGCTCTGAGACACTATGGGAGATGGGCGCACGGGTACCAGGACAAGATGTGGAGGATGGCACAGAAAGAGGCTTTTCCTTCACAAGGATACCCTCTGCCTTCCCCTCCATGAGTTCCCCAATCAAAGTCTCCTACCCCCAGCCCCATGCCTCAGTGAGAGTCAGGCTGAAAAGCAAACCGAAAAGTGGCATCCAGGGAGAACTGCAAGGCTGTTCTGGCAGCAGGAGTAGTTCGCCCTGCACCAGCCCAGGCTCCGTGAGGGCTGGCGGTGGCCTGAGACAGGCTGACAGGCAGACATGCCACAGGCTGACCGGAGAGAGGGGCGAGTCCAGACACACAGCAGGCACCCGGGAGGTAGGAAGCCCAGGAGGCAGGCCTAGCTCTGTCACTGACATGCTGAGTGACATCAGGCAGGTGCCCTCCCTGCTCTGGGCCTCAGTTTCCCCACTATGCAATAAGGGGTGGAGCCTCAACATTCAGTCCTGTAATTCTGATCTTGCCCCTTACCCGTGCTGGCTCTCTGAGATCCCACTTTATCTGTTCTCTCTCTCCCCCAGAGGTTCGCTTCTAATTCAGAGGCGACTAGGGCAGTTATATCTCAAAGGCAGGTAGTGTAATGGGTGGATTTGGGGGGACCAGTGAGGTGCCCCTCAATGCAATGGAGTGAGACCAGCAAGGGCTTCCAGCACCATTTCTCCTAAGGTCTCAAAGCAACTTCCAGGGCTTCCCGAGAGGTGTGCAGGGATCCTCAGGGCGAAGCCTCTGAGAGTTTAAGCAATATAAGGAGGTTCGGCTCAACTCACAGGCCTCCCACCTGGCCCAGCAGGGGCCCCTCTGGAGTGCACAGACAGCACAGACAGGCACAGACCCAAGTCTAGAAGGCAGGACCAGTCACTTCCATGGACCCTGCCCAAGTACCAGCCACCCCAGGCCTGGCTCCAAGACCAAAAACGTGCACTATAGAGCTGTTTCCCACTGCTATTAATTTAGACATTTACACAATGGCAGATAAAGATATTAAGTCAGATTAAGACATTAAGACATGAAACAGCATGTCTTTTCCCAAGAGAAATAAGCTTTCAGCCATCTTTAATCCTCTCCTGCAGGGAAGCCAGGAGGGACAGAGTAAGAGACAAAGAGAGAAGCTTTGCTCCTCTTCACTGGGTCCTGTAACAAAACCCAAGCGCCCTGCCTACTGAGTTCTGGGTTGGAAACAAAACCACCTCACAGCAGATTGCCAGACTCAGAGCGGTGCTATGAGCCAAGGAGAGGGCAGGGCCTGCTTTAGTGAAGGTGGGCGAGACAACTGTCCGTCACACAGCTCCGGGAAGGGCGCTTTCCAGGAAGGCAGCAATGGCCAACATCTCTGGAAGCCAAGCCCTTCAGGACCTCAAGTCAGAGCTCTGTGGGCTAAGGCTTCTCATTCTAAGGCTGGTGCCAGGAGATCAACTTCTCCAGCCCCAAGCCCCCTATGCCATCTGGGGACCCAGCCGAAGACCCAGGAAACCATCTCAGCCTTCAGACCCACTGCCCTGAACACAGCACAGCCTGCCTATGACTTGCAGGTACCTGGAGAATGGTTTCAGCTTCTACGGGGTCCTCTTGAGTTGTATACACTCTCCAACCAGCCTCATGCACGTCATTCAAAGACAGCTGCAAACACTTATTGGATGGCACGTACAGGTATCCCCATTCACACACAGCATGTGCAAACCCCCTTATGTACACGTGGCCATCATTCCTCTTCATTTAATCTCTTCGGAGAAACAAAACAAAACAAAAAAACTATGGCACAGAGAGGCCACTGAGGGCCCTGTGGCTCTCTGTACGTAAAGCTAATAATACCTCCTGGCTGGAGGAGTTTCTAAAATTAACAGAGTGGGAGCAAAACAGCTGGGAATGCTGACTTGGGCAGGCCTGCCACTCCAGCGAGCTTCTACATTCTCCCCAGCTCTAGTTCCTTCAACTGCCGACCAAATTTGAGACAGTAATTAATGGGAGAATGTTTGCATTTAGTGTCTTCATAAAACCAAATTACATGAGGCAAAAACACCCATTTCCTTGCATTCTGACTAATTGTTTCAATCATGAGTTTTCGGATGTTAAGGGATATTTCTGGAGCCTCATCTGAGCTGGGGTCCGAACACTGAAGCACTCCTCCCCTCGCACCCCTCTCCTTCAGCATCACAGCTACGCACAAGGCAGCTTGATGCGGTGGGAAGAAAGGAGCAGAGGCTCTCAGAGCCCGTCTGGGTTCGTTTCCTAAACCCACCATTTACTAGCAAGTCACTTAATCTCTGCATGCCTCAGTTTCTTCATCTGCTCAATGAGGATGATAATAGTACCTAACCAGCAGAATGGTTAGAAGGAAATGAACTGACATTTTTTAAATGCTATGACTTATGCTGTTATTAAATGAATAAATAAGTAATTCAAGCCAACAAATTCACAGGAAAGAGATGAGGGATGAAGATAACATCTTCCAGGGAAGAGCCAGACAAAGCTTCTACTGGGGGTGGGAGTGAAAGGGAACATAGAACAGTTTCAAGAGAGTCAGTGGTGGGAGTCAGGGGCCACAGTATTACCTGAACAATTAGAGGACAGAATCTGTTTACCCTGGCAGACAGATGCCCTGACTTCAGAGAGCTCACGGTCCAGTCAGAGGACAAAGCTTACAGAGAAGACAAGTCGGGCAATGCTGTAAGAACCCGTTCCAGGCAGCAGCCCAGGCATCTGAAAAGGTGGGCTCCTGCTGGCCCAGAAGCATGACACCAGACAGTGCTGCTGGATGAGAGGAGGTGGGCTTTGGGAGCTGCCCTTGGCCTCATGAACAGATGGTTGCACAGATTTCTGAAAGCAGGGCTGAGTGAGAGGCCCCTGTCCGCAAAGAGAGAGACTGAGAGATTGATTCAGCACCACGGACAGCTCTCGTGTGTCCGAACCCCCCACTGCAGCCTCCCCACTCAGCTCCCTGGCCTCACTTCTCCTGCAGTCCTAGTGACCCCCAAGTCAAGTCATTCCTTAATGTTACTGGACATTCTCACTTGAGGCTCCTTGATGATTAAAAAACCTTTGCATATTCATAGACACCAAAACACTTCACATGTATTGAGCATCTCCTTTGTGCTTTCCATGCATTTACTTCATGGAACCCTCATACCAGCACTAAGGTGGCTGCTATCATCCATATTTACAGATGGTGATAATGAGGCTTAGAGAGAAGCATCTGTCCAAGACTACATAGCTAGCAAGGAGTAAACCTGAGATTCAGAGACATGTGTGGGACTTCAGAGCCTGACCTCAGGATTCTCGGCATCTCAGTGGAATGTGAGGAAGTAGACAAGCCCTTCTGGCACCTTTGCACCATGCCAGGGAGGCAGTCTAACACAGCAGGCACAGCCCCTGCCCTAGAGACAAGAAAGGAAAGGAGACGGTTGCACAGGGGTTTCCAGGGGACCTGCCCTCGTGGTGCTGGGGCCTTCTGACATACAAAGGCTCAAGCTGGAGGCCCCATGCCCCCTAGCATCCACTGCTCCTAGGGTCATTCATGAATAATTCCCCAATCTAGGGTATCCATGGCGGTAGGTGGAAGGCCCTGGCAGGGAAGGAATGGACAGCCAGACTAAGGCATGCTAGAGTTGGCCCGAGCCTGAATTAGAGGCCTTGTTCTCTCCAAAGAGCAGATGACTCTCCCCATCCCAATGTTCTCTAAGCTGAGAGGAACCCCCGGCCAGCAAGACACCAGCTGAGCTCTGGAAGTCTTACCCCAGGCTCAGCACAGAAGCCCGGGCCTGCCGTCCCTCAGTCCTGGACCTTACTTCCTACCTGGACCAACAACCTGACCGGCTCGTGGCCTCTCAGCAGGAGGACGCCGCCTTATAGGCCTGCTTTGTAGGATCAGGTCCCACGTGCAGAAGGAATGGGAGAAGGCAAAAAGCCAAACGGCCCTTTTATAGTGACACCTGGAACATTTTATGCTTTGGTCTGAGAGGAAGGGTATGGCTTTCAGGGAACCGAGGCGAGAGAAGACAAGCAGCTCCTGACCCTGCACTCAGACTCAAGGGCGCTTCCAAGTGCCCTCTTCTTCCCTGGAGGCTGAAGAGCATGTGAAGGGTGGCAAAATTCAGGCAGAAGTGGAAGCCCCAGAACAGGTGTGGCATCCTTAAGCCTCCTCTCATCCACACACGCTCATGCTTGCCTTTGAGCACATATGCCGACACACATGTGCATGCACACACACACGCACATACCTACACCCAGGCACACCACGCATATGCACACACAGGCTCACAAATACATTTTGGACACACGCTCTCGTCTATGCCTTCCTGTTAAGTTTTGCCCTTGTACACACATCCATTCTCATACATGCATACTTTCTTGTACACATTTTGACTGGCATACACTTTGTGTCACTTGTATACCTTTGGACACAAATGTTATCCACTGGGAATGCTGTCAGCTGGAAGAAAGAGATTGTCGTTTTTTTGCCCATTAAAATCTTTCCCATCAAGATTCATCTGAAGCACTACCTCCCCCAGGCCTCTTTAATCTCACTGATGGAGCCTCCGCCCAGCCTAAGCCCTGGTTTCAGATCTCCCGAAATACCGTGGGCTCCTTGACAGCAGTGGTCTGGTTCCAAGTACGCCTGTGTTCCTGCAGTGCTGACTGCAGGCCCAGGTCCCCATGCTTTCTCCCAGGTGAGTGGTAACCCCCAGGACACCCCCACCATTTACTCCCTCCCTCTGCGCAGAGAGCTCCCACCAGGACACCACCCCTAACACCAGATTTGCATTCCCACCTGCCACCTAGAGGCCCCGCTGGCTCCCATACCCAACAAGTCCAAGGTGGAACTGGGCATCTTCCTCCTTAAAGCTGAATGGCACAGTCAGCATT